TTCCAAAAGTTTTTCATTACCCCAAACAGTAACCTAATACCCCTTAAACAGTAACTACTCCTTCCCTTGTTCTCCCATTCCCCCAGTAACGACTGAAAAACCATGTATTTGCCTATTTCATATGTGGAATCATACAGTATTTGTCCTTTTGAGTCTTATTTATTTTCAAGATTCATCCATGTCATAGTATGTATCAGAACTTCATTCCATTGTATGTATATACCACATTTTGTTTTTCCATCCATCTTTTGATGGACGTTTGAGTTGTTTACGCTTTTGGGCTATTTGTAAATGCTGTAATGAACACTGGTCCAAGTATCTCTTTAACCCGCTGATTTAAATTCTTTTGGGTATATACCTAGGAATGGAATTGCTGGGTCATATGGTAATTCTTTAGTTTTCTGAGGAACCACAAACAGGAACCAACTGTTTTCCACAGAAACTGTACCATTTTACATTCCTACCGGCAACGAATGAGGATTTCTGAACCTTTGGACTTTTACATGGGCACAAAATAAATTTCTATATATTTTTATGCCACTCTTATTTTGCAGTTTTTGTTACTTGCAGTCATATTTTTTTCCCCCTTCACCCAAGTTAATGTGTGTCTACCCTTTAGTTAGTGGTTTACCCTCCCTTCTCCACCCATCTCTGGTAACCATCAAAAAAAAAATATATATATATATATATACGTATTTTTTGTGTAACCTTTTTCTTCACGTTTTACAATAGTGGCCTCATACAATATTTGTCCTTTTGTGATTGACTAGTTTCACTCAGCATATTGTTCTCCAAGTTCATCCATGTTATGAGATGTTTTGGAGATTCATCTTTGTTCTTTAACATTATGCAGTATTCCGTTTTGTGTACATACCAGTTGTCGATCCATTCTTCTGTTGATGGGCATTTAGGTTGTTTCCACCTTTTTGCCATTGTGAACAACATAGCTGTGCATCTATCTGTATGTGTCACAGCTCTTTTTTCTCTAGGATATATACCTAGAAGTGGGATTGCTGGATCATTTCCAGCTTCTTAAGGAAGTACCATATCATTTTGCACAGTGGTTGCTCCATTTTACAGTCCCACCAGCAGTATATGAGCATTCCAGTCTCTTCACACTCTTGTCAGCATGTTTTTTTTTTTTGAACTTTGCTATCAGTGGTGGGGTGAGATGTTATCTTATTGTTTTGATTTGCATCTTTCTTATGGCTAATGATAGCGAGCATTTCTTCATGTGTTTGTTAGCTGTCTGAATGTTTTCTTGGAGGTGGTGTCTGTTCATGTCCTCTGCCCGTTTTTTAATTGGAATATTTATATTTTTGTTTTCTTTGAATTTTAGAAATTACCCCTTGTCTGATATGTTGTTGCCATTCCCTGCCCCCCACTCCCTGCCCGCTGGTCTGTCGGTTTTTACTCGTTTGGTAAAATCTTTTGATGCATGTAAGTTGTCTAATTTTCAGGAGGTCCCATCCATCTATTTTGTCTTCTGGTATTTGTGCATTTTTAGTTGTATTCAATTGTGTATTTATGCCCT